TAGCGAAAGTAAGTACAGACCAATAACACGCAGCCGAGTATGACGTTTTGCATTCGATGCCCTTAATTTTACCGGCGCGTTTGAATTTGATGGCATAATCTAAAAAAACTTTTTCACGTAAAATCAGAAGCTATAGGAATTTATAAACAACAGGCAGTAACAGAACTGTTCAAAATGTACGTTCGTCACGTTCAAGTAAAACAAAACAAAATAAACTGCGAGGAAAAAACAAGCCCATGATGAGGAACCGACAAACACTTGACTTAGCAGATAAATATAAGATGAATATAAACCATTCAGGTCTTAGCTGTTTTGATAAACAGGCAAATGTCAACCACAGTTTCTATGCGTACTACCTTAACACACTTCTACAATGATGACAAAAAAACCTACCCCCAACAGTACTCTTTGAAACTCAGTGAATGCCTAATAATGGCTAATATCAAAACTAGAACTTATGCTGCTACACACAACCTTGATCGATAAAAAACCTCTTTGAACTCTCGACCGAACTGATTTCTATGACGTATTCTAAACACAAAAATTTTAGTAAGTGTCACTCGTTGTAGAATCTACTTCTGCATAAATACAACTCAGTAAAACAACGTCACTTAAAACTGAAATACTGTCATAAATGCTTATTTACGTTTATTTCCATGATTTTTGTCTCAAACGCAACATAAAGCTATAAAAGGAAATCACCATTATTTTTTACATGCGTAAACATAAGAAACTACACAACTGTTTCCTTGGAAAACATAGATGCGACAGAACACATTACTTTGATCCCTTTACACTACTCATTATCACATCCTCATTGTCCACCTCAGGAAAGTATCAAAAGTTAATTTCAACTACACTTCAGTATCATTAACAAATGAAAAAATCGGTCAACAAACGAACGACCAGGGACCATGGGGCAACTTGCAGAAAAAATCCTGCAATCTGACTTACATTAAACCTCGCCCTCCAGAAAAACGAAGTGACTCTACACTGAAGGAACAAGCACAGCTTCTAACAATTGCGAAATTTCACAGAAACAGCATCACTAATAACAAGACCTGCACCGTCATCATCACCACCACCAACGAGAACAACAAGAACATCATTAACGACAATAACATAAAAGCAACAACAACACTTCACATGTAACAATCACATCGACATCGACGGTAAACCTTCAACAAACTGGATAACCAAATTTTTTATGTTAAATTTACGAAAATATGAATTTCCCACGAATTCGAATCCATTGCAATATTCCAGCAAAGATGTCATTCGCCACAAGCAGTAATAAACTGCTAAAATATCAGCCAAGAGAAGTTAAGTTTTAATTAAAATAGATGATGTCTTACAAAATCAAACATTTACAGCGTAAGAATTGTGTAAAACTTGTGTTAAAACTGGATAACGAACTAAGCCCCTTGCTCCGAACCTTCCATTAACCATCATCATCACCATCAACTCTCCCACTCTTCCTATTCCACAGTGAACATAAAATACTTCCATGTCACTGTACTTCGTACAGAGACAGGTTTTAAATCATAGTTATTTTCTGTGATTATACATGTAACTTGTACCCAGAAATAGACTCTTCTCAACCTTCTTTTCTTTTTCTTTTTTTCTCTTTATTTTTTTTATTTTTTATTTTCTATTTTTTTTGTTCTCATCGCTCTCTCAAAATGATTGTTCTTAGAAAAAAAGAAACCGATAAGGTACAAAGTGTAAAAAAAAAAGACTGCAAAACAAGAAAAGCAGTAATGCGTTACTGAAAACAGAGGCAAAAAAAATTTTAAAAATCCCTCATTGAATGCGACTAGCTTTACTCATCAGTGTATCCGCGTTGCATACGCAGAATTTTCACGTAGTTTTAACAGAAAAAAAAAAAAAAAAAAAAAAAAAAAAAAA